TGGGCTATATGCTCTGATAGGCCATCTCTTACCTACTTTGCGTTGAATTTCGTGTTAGTTTCAGAAAGTCGCGTTTTCTGACCTCGTCCTCAAAGTCTGGAGATGCGCTATATTTTGAACCCGTGAATTCCTTTAGGACACATGGGACATTTTGAAAATCCTGTTGATAATTTTAAAAGTTCATGGGCAGTAAAGAAGGATTACTTAGTCACTATCGTAATGTAGCAGGAACTGGTGTTCCCTGAGTCTTTCTGTTGACTGCGGGAATTCAGGGAGGACCTCCTGTGTCCCCAGCCCCATACGAGGTGCTAGAGGAGCATGTTGTCCCTGCAGTCATTTCATTCGGGTCGCTGACCTCTCGCCTGGCCCACATTCCAGGCCCTGTGGCAGGGACTTGGCAGAAACCTTATCTCTAATCCTCACCACAGACCTGCAGTGTTTTTCGTCAGTATTCAGATAAAGAAACTGAGGCTCATTTGGTTCAGTGCGTTGTCCAACATCCTACAGCTGTAAAATCCAGGATTCAGATCTGAATCTGTTTTTATCTGGAGCCCAAGCTCTTCCTACTCCCCTGCTCTGCCCCGAGAGAATCCGAATACAGGCAAGAATGGACATCAGTTGGGCCTAGAGAAGAAGGAAACCATTTTTTTCCCCCTTAAAGCTGGATCTGTGTTTCCCTTTAATTTTAGATTCCGGGGTTAGTAAAAAGAGCTTCTGCATTTGGTGATGGTTCTGCTCAGGGGTTTTTAAGTACTTGTTTTTCTCCGGGAGACATAGCCAATCACACCAGCTAACATTTCAGGTCAGCTTGTGTGATTTCCTTTTTATGAGAAGGTAACAATATCGCATGGATTGAAAGGGACACAACTGGATGTTAGCACCGCACGATTGCATTCCAGCTTTTATCTTCATTTAAAACAAGTCCCATTTGAATCCGAAGGGGTACATGCACCCCAATGTTTATAGCAGCAATGTCCACAATAGCCAAACTGTGGAAAGAGCCAAGATGTCCATCGACAGATGAATGGATAAAGAAGAGGTGGTATATATACACAATGGAATATTATGCAGCCATCAAAAGGAATGACATCTTGCCATTTGCAATGACGTGGATGGAACTGGAGGGGGTTATGCTGAGTGAAATAAGTCAATCAGAGAAAGAGATGTATCATATGACCTCACTGATATGAGGAATTCTTTTTTTTTTTTTAATTTTTTATTGTTATGTTAATCACCATATATTACATCATTAGTTTTTGATGCAGTGTTCCATGATTCATTGTTTGTTCATAACACCCAGTGCTCCATGCAGAACGTGCCCTCCTCAATACCCATCACCAGGCTAACCCATCCCCCCACCCCCCTACCCTCTAGAACCCTCAGTTTGTTTTTCAGAGTCCATCATCTCTCATGGTTCGTCTCCCCCTCTGACATACTCCCCTTTTCTTCCTCTCCTGTTATCTTCTTCTTTTCCTTTTTTCTTAAAATATGTTGCGTTATTTGTTTCAGAAGTACAGATCTGTGATTCAACAGTCTTGCACAATTCACAGCGCTCACCGTAGCACATACCCTCCCCAATGTCTATCACCCAGCCATCCCATCCCTCCCACCCCCAACCACTCCAGTAACACTCTGATATGAGGAATTCTTAATCACAGGAAACAAACTGAGTGTTGCTGGAGTGGTGGGGGGTGGGAGGGATGGGGTGGCTGGGTGATAGACATGGGGAAGGGTATGTGCTATGGTGAGCGCTGTGAATTGTACAAGACTGATGAATCACGGATCTGTACTTCTGAAACAAATAATGCAATATATGTTAAGAAAAAAAAGAAGAAGATAGCAGGAGGGGAAGAATGAAGGGGAGTAAGTCAGAGGGGGAGACGAACCATGAGAGACGATGGACTCTGAAAAACAAACTGAGGTTTCTAGAGGGGAGGGGGGTGGGGGGATGGGTTAGCCTGGTGATGGGTATTAAAGAGGGCACGTTCTGCGTGGAGCACTGGGTGTTATGCACAAACAATGAATCATGGAACACTACATCAAAAACTAATGATGTATGGTGATTAACATAACAATAAAAAATTATTAAAAAAAATAAAACAAGTCCCATTTGAGAAGAAGAAGGAGAAGTATACTTTGCTGGAGGGAAGTAGCAAAGAGGTCAGACTGCAATTAATAGACCCTCTAAAATCACAATGGCTAAACAATTTTACCTTTCACCTAAAAATCCCAGGGACATTCATCACAATTTAAAAGTAAGGACAAAACATCATATATTAAAATCAGTAATAGTCATGATTTCATCTCTTTGGGAAGGATGGTACTGTTTGCCATCTTTCACCAAAAACGTCTTTCTTGGGGCCATGATGGAGAGCTGGGGCTACAGGTCAGCTTCCCAGATGGTTTCCTTTCTTACCCTTCATTTTCACTAAATTAGAAAAGCTTAAATTACAGTTAGAAGTGGGAGCAAGTGATGGATGACTCCGTCTAGTAATCCTGGATGTTGTAACCATAGACAGACATAGAAATTGAGGAGATTCTTGCTGAAAGCCACTTCCAGTGTTTTGGCAGAACAGTGTCATCCTTGGAAGCTGGAAAGTTGAGTGTTCATCTTAGGTCTGCCTCATAGATTCCTTATCCACCTTTTGATTTGACTTTAGTCCAAAAACCATGTCTTTATGTTCTGTTACAGACCTTGGAGGTGGTTTGTAACTCTGCCTGGAACATGTTATGTCTGTCTTCTGTGGACAAGAAAATCATCAGGTAGAGCATGGACTGCTTGGATCCGAATACTTTTTTTTTTTTTTATCACACTATCTGTGTAACTCTGGACCAACAATTTAAATTTTCCCTGCAGGGAAAATTTAATTTGAGGATTTCCTCAACTGTAAAATGGAGTAGGTGATAATACCTGCTGACAGCATGGCCGTGAATATTCTTTGTGCTAAAGTACATGACCATCTAGCTCTGTCCTGGTACATGATACTCACTCAGTAAATACACATCACGATTATTATAATTTTCAGATGTTTGCAAACTCTCTGGGACTTTCATACCACAGTTCAATCTTCATGCAAAATCTTTGTTTCTTCTTCCTCCTTCTCCCTTATAAATCACAAGCTTTCATCCCCGAAGTGGTGGGGGTAGGTAAGTTCTGGATGTGCGAATTATTGAATATACTGTGGGACTGCCATTCAGCATCATAGAGATAGTCTTCACTTGCATTACAAACATCGTAAAGTATCTGTTTAAAGTAATCTTATTCATTGCCATGTGAGCATCATCATGGTCCCCGTACTTCTGTGGGGGAATGGGGTCCTCTGGTTGCCACCTATTTTTCTGCCCAGAACACTAGAGAAGGAGATGCTCAGAGGCTGTGTGTGGCAGGCTTCCATTGTTATCCTCAACACAAAATCAAGACCAGAGGGTGGATTGTTGAACACATTCATTCATTTTCTTTTTTTAAAGATTTGTTTATTTGAGAGAAAGAGAGAATGAGTGGGAGGGGCAGAGGGAGAGGGAGAGAGAGAATCTCAGACTCTATACTGAGCCCAGAGCCTGATGCAGGGCTCGATCTCACAACCCTTAGATCATGACCTGAGCCGAAACCAAGAGTTGGAAGCTTAACCCACTGTGCCACCCAGGTGCCCCGAACACATTCGTTCTTTGTGAATGAAGCTGGAGAATGATTTTCAAAGGGGACACCTGCTTTTACATGAGTGGTAACACCTTTGCTGCACATAGAGTAGTGTCTTCTCAGTCCTGGTCTCTGTGCTTCCTGCTTCACAAAATATGCAGGAATTCAGTTGAAACCTCAGGGGGTGTAGGAGGTCAGCAGAACAAGAAGCTGCGGGCGTTCTCTCTGTAGAGCACACGCACTAGGACCGGATTCCCACACTGCCCCTCGGCTGCACGCCGATGTCAGTGGCAGGCTGGCTGGCACACCAGCACCTTCCCAGCCCGGTGCCCAGGTTCCGTGTGATCTCCAGTACTCACCTGATGAAGCGATGGTGCCGTCGGCTTGTTCTGCTTTCTCAGTGAACACCATGTTTGTAATGAATTCTGCAGGTGGTTTTAGAAGCTTCTCACCAAGAATGGGGCTTTTGCCCATTTTTCTGACTTGTTTTGGTTTCCTCTCATTCTTTAGTGACAAAACTAATTGAATTAATGTCAGAAGTAGTTGTTTTCTTTGTGTGCTTGTTTCGAAAAGAATTTGAGGCTTTATTTGAAGATGGGGAGAAACTGATGGCTTCTTGTCATAATCCAACCCATTTTTCATCACAGACACTGTGACGGGGATTACTGAGTCAATAAGACCCAATTTTCAAATACTCATCACTGCATTTCCTTTCCTTTCCATTTTTGGGTGAAATCACTACACTCACAGAATCACTTATGCTGGGACATAGATTCATAATCTGTGTTCACATTGGAGCCCTGTCCATGATTTATGTTTATGATGTCATTTTGCACTGTACTGTTTACATTATTATTTATATCATTACTTTTGGGCTTTGGTGAGCCACTTTTGTCATTTGGGGCCATGACATGGCACAATGGGAACACAGACTTAACAATAAACAATGAAACTGTGTGAATGGGATGAGTGGCAGGCTGTTTACCGAATGCCAGCAAAGGTAACTCCTCTAACTGCTCTGAAGAGTGGAGTAAGATTTCCGCGAAAATCATAACTGCTTACATTTCAAATCTGCGGACAGACTTGTTTTCATTCTTCTTTTCCTCTGAAGCCACCAAGCCTCCAGGGACCACACTTTGGGAACGGTACTCTGTGGTTTTTGATGAGAGCCTTTCTGGAACAGGGCTGGTGAAGGGGATACGGGTGGGAGGGGACTGGGTCCTGGTGAAGTTTAAAAGAGAACAAACACCAGAAACGGAAGAAACGCCAGGTCAGGGCTTCTAGTTCGGGAGAGTTGGGGAGACAGGAATTTAAGCTATGTCCTTCTAAGTGTTTCCATTTCTTCTTCCTTTGTACCTTACAGAGTAAAAGCCAGGGATCCATCTTTGTCCGGATACACGCCCCGTGGCAGGTGCTGGCCAGAGAGGCGGAGTTCTTGAAGATCAAAGTCCCCACCAAGAAAGTATGAGGATGTTTCTTCTGGGTTTGGAGGCCTCCTGAGGGCTGGCTGGATGGGAATAGTGTGGGAACAAGGCCAGAGTTTGGAGGATGAGATTTGGTGGAGTTGAAATTGCACTTGACTCCCAAGGGACCCTAAGTATGGGGCGGTGATGTGGGTAGGGTGGGGAAGAAAGTTGGGGTGCAGAGAGGGGCTGGGCTTGGGAAATCCCTTCACCTTGGAGCTCCACCTGGGATGTGCTTCACAAGAAGCCAGACATTGCCCTGGTGCAGCTTCTTGGTTACTCTGTTATACCTCTTTTCTCCCTCTGCTCGGTGTCCCAACCCTGCCAAGCACTTTTTTTTTTTTTTTTTGAGCAAATTTAGCAATGAGAGCAGACAGCAAGCCTTGCTGATTGGGTGATTGGGTCAGCGGCATGCAGGGAGAATAGCACCAAACTTGCTGCAAAGATCCCTATTCTGGTTGTGACTCTGCCCCTAAGTACTGTGTGGTGGTTGCTTCCACTTGTCTCATCTGTAAAATAGAAGGTTCTTAACAGGAGAGTTGATAAAAAAAAATCATCTGGGGAATGTTTTAAAAATGTTCATGCTGGTTTCCCTCCTCTGGGATTTTGATTCAGGTGGTTCATATGGAATGAGGTTCTGGCATCAGTATTGTGGGAAAAAAAATCCCTGGTAGGTTCTGATGCATATTTGAGTTGAGAACCACGCAGTTCAGATGATTTTTGAGGTTCATTTCAGCCAACATAGTTTATGTATGATTTTAAAATCTCCCCAGGGAATTCGTAGGTGAGTGTCCTTGTATACCAAAATTTAGCAAACACTTCCAAAGAGAAAGGGAAAGTGTCCACAGATTTACCATTCTTTTTTATTAGGCATTTTAGGGGAAAGGAGTGGCTATGGACTTTGGCCATTGCGATGTCTCTAGGAAGGGTCCTGGGGCAGATTCTACTCTAGTTTAATGATGGGTGATATATAGATGATGTCTCTCTGTCTCTCTCTTTCTCTGATTCTTTGTCTCTGTGTCTCCCTGTCATTCTCACACACACACACACACACACACACACACACACACACACACACACGCAGTGTTTTATAAGTGGTGACCTAGCTTTGCAGAGATCGTTTTCCTCATTCCATCTGCCATCACCATGATTTCCACCCCTGTCATGAACAGAACTCCATGTCTGCTGCCTTCTGCACCACAACTGTTACCACCTGCCTTCTTAGCACTGTCTGTGCTATCATTGCCATCCTCAGAGTCAGCAATGCCATTTGATGAGCGGCATTGGCTATATTTATACCATCTTTTCTACCAACAGATTACTGTCTCCATCACAGTTCACTCATCAAATACCAGCATGTGTGCCACCATCACGAATGCCCTACTCAAGAAGGGTAAAGTCTGTGGGTTCTGTTTTTATAGGCTTATTAAGACAGATGATACTTTCATGGCAGGTGGACAAATGACTCTCAAAGAATGAACAAATGCAGACATGAATATTAGCTACAGACATTCTGCCAATAAAAAGTAAATGTTTTGGGGTCACCTGTCTGAGTGTCTTGTTTTCACAAGGACCACACCAGGGTCCTTTCCCCTTCAGTTGCACTGCTGTGTTGTCTCCTAGTTTTGGACCTCTTGCTCCTAAGCCCATGGTCCTCAAATGCAGGTGCCATCTTTGTCATGGCCCTCCACTCCTCCTCCACTGATGTTCTCCTCGACTCATCCCGAGTCTCCGTCTTGGATGGAAGCTTCTGCTTCCCCCTGGTGGTGTCCTAACCTGGCCAACCCTTTCACTTCTCTTTCTTCTGCTTCTAACTTCAATATATTTCTTCTCCTTTCTCTGGTTTATGTGAGTGTCAAACATTCTCTTAATCTCATTCTATTTGTATCTTGCTTCTTGTGTTTTATCTTTGCTGGCTGACCCTTGGAAAGAAGGTGAGCAAAACTCTAATGCCCATGCTATGGCTTCTATCTCCCAGATGCTCCTCATAGGAGGAAAGCTAGAGACATAGAAAAAGTGTGTATTCTTCTGTTCCCTCTTATGTCTCTTTCTTCTTTGCTCCCCTTCCCATCCTTCTTCCCTCCCCTTCCACCTCTCTCTCCTGATGCCTTTTCCTAGCCTCCCTCGCTGTTCTTGGGGCATCCTGCCATACCTCTCATTTCTCTACCACCTTCTCCTCCTCGTTCCCAGACTCAGCCCCCATGTAGTGCCTACCCCTGATCTCTGCTTGTCCTTTCACAGGCTCATACCTTTGACAGCATAGATCTGCTTAAATGACCTATCTTCCCGCAGACTTATGTGCCCCCATATGCTTAGTCTACTGGAACTACCTATAGTTTAGGTAGTGCCTGCGCTTGAATTTGTAGATGAGATGATGAGGGCAAGGACATGTTACAATGCAGCCATCTCTGAATTTCCCTCCTTCTTTGTCTTTTTTTTTCATTTTTAAAATAATTCAGATATATTTGCCATAACCTTGTGTAAATTTAAGATCTACAGCCTGTAAATTTGGTACATTTATGTATTGTAATATGATTATCATTGTAGCAATAATTAACACCTCTGTTACATAATTATTCTTTTTAGTGGTTGGAATAATTCAGTTCTAGTTTCTTTGCCAATTTGATGGCTATAATACAACATCCTTGTCTGTAGTCACTATACTCTGCATTAGATCTCTAGCGCTCATTTTCTACTTGTTGCAAGTAGGAACCTTTAAACTACATCTGTCCTATCCCTCCACCTCCCTGGTTCCTTGGTAACCACACTTTACTCTCTGTTTTTGCAGGTTTGGCTTCTTAGATTCCACATAGAAGTGGTAGTACACAGTACATTTTTTTAAAAAGATTTATTACTATTATTTATTTGACAGAGAGAGAGAGAGAGAGTGAGAGAGGGAACACAAGCAGGGGGAGTGGGAGAGGGAGAAGCAGGCTTCTCGCCGAGCAGGGAGCCCGATGTGGGACACGATCCCAGGACCCCGGCATCATGACCTGAGCCAAAGGCAGATGCTTAATGACTGAGCCACACAGGTGACCCTACAGTACATTTTTTTTCTCTGACTTAATCTCACTTAGCATCCTGTACTCAAGGTTCATCCATGTTGCAAATGGCAGGATGTCCTTGTTTCTCATGGCTGAGTAAGATTCCACTGTGCACACATACCACATCTTCTTTATCCGTTCATCTGTGGATGGGCAGTTAGGCTGTTCCCGCCCCCCCCTTCCTTTTCCTTTTGGAGATGTTGGGTGGCAGGCACTGGGCTAGGCGAGTCCTCAGAAGCCCAGACTTCTCGCCTTGGTTTTGCACGTATTTGCAGTGTGACTTTGGGATGTAACTTCCTCTTTTAGAGCCCCAGTTCCTCATCTATGAGATGGGTGTCATAATACCTGCCCTAGAACCCCCCTACACTGTTGGTGGGAATGCAAGCTGGTGCAACCCCTCTGGAAAACAGTATGGAGGTTCCTCAAACGGTTGAAAATAGAGCTACCATACGATCCAGCGATTGCACTACTGGGTATTTACCACAAAGATACAAATGTAGGGATCCGAAGGGGTACATGCACCCCAATGTTTATAGCAGCAATGTCCACAATAGCCAAACTGGAAAGAGCCCAGATGTCCATCGACAGATGAATGGATAAAGAAGAGGTGGTATATATACACAATGGAATATTATGCAGCCATCAAAAGGAATGACATCTTGCCATTTGCAACGACGTGGATGGAACTGGAGGGGGTTATGCTGAGTGAAATAAGTCAATCCGAGAAAGAGATGTATCATATGACCTCACTGATATGAGGAATTTTTAATCTCAGGAAACAAACTGAGGGTTGCTGGAGTGGTGGGGTGTGGGAGGGATGGGGTGGCTGGGTGATAGACATTGGGGAGGGTATGTGCTATGGCGAGTGTTGTGAATTGTGCAAGACTGTTGAATCACAGATCTGTACCTCTGAAACAAATAATGCAATATATGTTAAGAAAAAAAAAGAAGAAGATAGCAGGAGGGGAAGAATGAAGGGGGGGAAATTGGAGGGGGAGACGAACCATGAGAGACTATGGACTCTGAGGAACAAACTGGGGGTTCTAGAGGGGAGGGGGATGGGAGGATGGGTTAGCCTAGTGATGGGTATTAAAGAGGGCACGTTCTGCGTGGAGCACTGGGTGTTATGCACAAACAATGAATCATGGAACACTACATCCAAAACTAATGATGTAATGTATGGTGATTAACATAACAATAAAAAATTAAAAAAATAATAATACCTGCCCTATTTTTCTTAGAAGGCTCACCTTTTTAAAAAATTTTTTAAAAAATTCATTTGAGAGAGAGAGAGCACAAGCAGTGGGAGGCAGGAGCAGCAAAGGGAGAGAGAGAGAAGCAGACTCCCCGATGAGCAGGGAGCCTGATACAGGGCTCAATCCCAGGACCCTGGGATCAAGACCTGAGCCGAAGGCAGATGCTTAACCGACTGAGCCACCCAGGTGCCTCTCTTTGAATGTTGTTCTAAGACTCTAACTCCTAAGTAGTGCTATGGAAATATAGGAATTTATCATTGTGTCTGTGTAGTTGAATATTTTTGTGTGCATTTTCGATTCCTAGTCCCCCAGTCAGCTTCCCTGCAGTCAGCACTGTTGGAGGGCCCACTGTAGAGGGTCTTTGGAGAGACACTGCAGAGCACAGAAATAATCCAGGCTCTCAGAGAGCTTATAGTCAAAGGGCACAACAGGAGGAACGCACATACCCAGACAGCAAAGCATGAATTAAATACTGTCTCAAATGGCAACTCAGCACAGCACAGGTCTCTATATAAATATGATGAGCCAGGGAGTCTGGGGACAGCAAAGCCAGGTGGTGGCTCCTAGAAGGCTGCAGATATAACAGAAAGAACTTCCCCCCAAAGTTTCTGGGTCCCAGACTTGACACAGGTGGACTGTGGTGGCATCCTTCCGTGGCTCAAGCCATGCGGCCCGATCTTTGTACCATAGAAAGCAATG